TTTGCAAGAACTTTCACCATAACATATGTTATGTTGATCATTTTTTTGTGATCTGCAACAGTGTCCACTATGCTGTGCATTATAGAATGGAGGCCGTTATAGAGGGGGCCATTATAGAGAGAGTGAACTGCATTACTATTACTATCAGTTAAAAATTTTCACATGGTTAAATTAACTGGTTAGCCGATTAATGATATTCATGTGATATTGGGTGTAACATGGCCTATGTAGATCAAAATTAGTTAATATCATATATAAAATTTACTACTAAACTTTTTCAATAAATATAAAAAAAATTGTATCTCCTCTTTCAAAAAAAAAAGATACAACTATGAAATCAAGAGAGATTGTTAATAAATGTGATGACAAATGTGCTGACTGAGATTTTTTTTTAATTTTATTATATAGTAAATCATCTAAAAATGTTGAAAATACAGTTGAACTTTGAAGCATATAGGCTTGATAACTAAACAAAATAGAGCAATAATCTTTCCATGATTTTATTCTTGTGGCTTAAGTAAGGTTGTGGACGAAACCTCCTTAGTAATTGCTGAAACCATGGCAAAACTATATTAATTCTTATCAAAAATCCTGTTGAAACTATGCTGAAATGGTGAAACCTCAAAATGCAAAACTCTGCCGAAACTCTAATAAACAATTAATGTGTAACCTGCCGAAACCATGCTGATTGATTTCTGGAGGAGTTTTGGCAAGCAACCTTAGGCTTAAGGAATAAGCTGACAGAGAAGTTTCTTTAATTTTATTAGTAAAAAAAGGATTTACAAGGATTTAAAAGTTGTGCAATTTTTATCATTAAAAATTTTTCTTTTTAAAGAAACTGTTATTAAAAAAGAATTGTAAACCTCCAAATTTTAATATTAAATGAAAAAAAATTTTAGAATTAACAAATTTTATTTATATAATTATTTATTTTTCATTGAAATTTTTTTTTATTTTTTATATGAAAAAAACTTGGCAAGAGCTTTTATTAAATGGTCATATGACTTCCAAAACTATGTATTATATGTATTTTTAACTACTTTACAAGCCTATCAAAAAATAGTTAATAGTTCAAATTATAATCATAAAGTTATCAGAAAAATGGATACTCAGATTTAACATTCAAAATCTACCATGTCTCTAAAGTTGGTATCTGCAATTGATTTGAAATTCTGCAACCAGTTGCAACCTAGATTGAAACATCCCAAATTGCAATTTCTTAGTTGCAGACACCAACTTTACATGCCTCAATAATTCTTGGTTTAAATATAGCTGTTTTGCCACCCTTTAACCCATGATAGTTTAATATCATAAATTTCCCTCTCTATTATATGCAACAATTACTGTTAGTTTTTTTTGGATATAAATAAACACAATAAAAATAAATAAAGTCAATAGCTACCATTGTCATTATTAAAGAAATAAATTTACATTAAATAATATTATTCTTCTGGGACATATTCTAATTGTTTTATATATTTAAATGTATAAATTTCATACCCACAATCCAGAACCACTCATTAAATAACAGAAAACTGATAAAATTAACAGCTCATATTTTTGTAAGTAAATATAGTTTTTTACTCTTGATTTAGGTAGTTTTATATAACGCAATAAATGCATGACTTTCTATGGGGATGAAGAATTGATTGCTATTATTATTACTATCACTATGGTTCAAATCATCTATAAATGTCACGTCCAAATTTTAGAAGATCTTTCTAATTTAAGTAATCAAATTTCTTTTATTGGAAAGATTTTCTGTATCACGAAAAATTTAAGTCGATCATCGGCCTTTTAGGAAATCACAAGGGAAGATCATTCCGATATTTTACAATTTACATATAGACATATATAAAATGGCCTAACTTTGAAGCCTTATAACTCAAAACTTTTCTAATAAGGCAAACCGGTGGAATGAAGCTTAGGTCTTTAGCTTTAATTCTATCAGTTTACTTTTTACTTTTTCTTTTTTAATAAGGAGTTATAAGCTTTTAAAAGTCATGTGATAACCATTGACTGTTATAGATGCCCTCACTAAAAATTTGCCCAGATCAGTATTAATTAAATCCTTTCCTTAACTCGTGGATCACAAATTAATTATCTTGAAAAATATATTCACTTAAAAATAAATACAATGGAACATTACAATAGATAGATTCATATCTTGAATTTTTTTTTGTAATTTAAAAATTTTAATTAGTGTTACATGAATCACCAATATATGCAGCCAATAAAATGCTTTAATTCCCTAATTGTACACCCTCTCTAAATGCATGCTCCTACACATTTCCAAGGGGGTGTACACTTAGAGGGTTGACTGTAGCTGACCAACCAGTGTTGCACAGAGCTTTTCCATTGATGTGAATGAAATCACACAAGTCTAATAGAAATAGTTCACCATACAGACCTTGTAGAATCACAGATTTAATATTTAAAAGTAGAGCATTTTTCAAATATTTGATTGTATAACTACTAGTGAATAAACTTTCCAGATTTTCAAGTAGTGGTAATAATTTATTGTCTACACCATTCATTATAGAGTTTGAATAATCCAGGGTTGACAAATTGACTGGTCCATTGAGAACTGATGGACTTTGGACTGATCTATTGCCATTAATAAAATACTAAATATAGTTGAAATGTTACACTAATGGACCAAATTGATCACCAATAGACCACCAATGGACTACACATTTGCCAACTCTAGAATAATCAATTATTGTTTGTGAATGAGCAAGGATTGTTTTTTTGAAATTATCTGATAAAGTTCCTTTACCATGTGGTGAACAAATGGCCAAATTCTTTATTTGATTTTGTTTGTTAATGATAATCAAATCCATCATCACAATTAATATCAATTTTTAATGATTGAATATTTTCACAAATATTTGCTAATTACCAATAAATTCATAATTACCAATAAGTTTACAATCTAATATGTTAAAATTCTGAAAGATATTATTGAATTTGAATTCATGATGATTATTTAACTGACGAAGATCTATGTCAAAAGTAACCAACTCTCTGATATTTATTGAATGATCTAAGGTAAATTTTACTAATCTTTCATAAATTATTTAACTCTGAGGTTCTAATTAGGCTTTTAAACAAATAGCCTTGAAGAAAATAAAGTCAGGTGCAAAATCTAGCATAATTACATGATGGTGGTTTATCCAACAATTTAAAATCTAATTTAATGCTATTCCTTGTTAAGAAATCCTTATCCTCTTCTAATAAACAATTAATTATTATTTTGGTGCTGTTGTTAGAACAAAATGTATTTTTCCATCAGGTTGAATATTAGTATTATGCCATTGTTTATTGATGAGGATGCAAGAATTTAATACTTTATAATCATCATCATAGTATTTAAATATTTAATTAGAGCTCAGGTGGTAATGCTCCAAGAAAATCTGAAGTTGAAACATCTTTTCATTTATTATGATAATAAACACAAGTAATCTAAAAAAACAATTAAAAAATTAATTGATAATTAATTGGTATTCATATATGTTGTTGATTTTAATTATATTCATTCATACCTCATCACTGCTATGCTTTGAAGCTTTCCATCCTTGATTTAGATAAAATATATTGGATAATTTTTCAATGGTTACATATGAAGTTACATGTCTTATATGGGTAAAGCTTTTAATTTTTTGAGATGTTATATGCTAAAATGGATAGATAAATGAGAAGCTGCATGCTTAAAAGATAAAAAAATTTCTAAAATTTACTAGTCTGGAGGTTACCTCCTTCTATAATCAATCACATTAGATTAGTAGTACAATGGCGGCATTAAGTAAATTTGATCACTTTGTATCACAAAATTATTTGTTCATTTTGTCTGGTCTGTCATATACATATAATAATATTATTTATAAAAAATTGAAATCCTACAATTACTTGATTTTCCTGCTTTTATTTTGTGGGGAAGCTTGTAATAAACAAATAACAAAAATATTATTTAAAGATATTTCAATAAACAAAACGTCGTCCCCAAAGCATAAAAAACGCAAAATTGAACCAATGTCAGATCTTTCTGACGAGGACATGTTTGAAGATTCTCAAGAATCTGGTACGTATAATTATATGATGGTTGTTTAACATTATGTATATGTGTATGTGTGTTTATAAAATGAAATCAACAGAGAAGTTTCTTGTAAAAAAAAAGATAGATGTATAAATTAAATAATTTAATCTAACAAATCTTTTAAAATTACGGATTTTAAAGAGCTGGAAGGCGATGACGATATCGAGGATGAATATGTAGACGAGGATGAAGTAGATTTAAACTTTTCAGAAGTAGTACCGGAAAAAGAACGCAAAAAAAGTTATCAGGTTGAATTTAAGGTTCATTCTATTGAAAACATTGTTAAAAACCAGGAAGATGAAATTTCTCATGTATCCAATATTCTTGGTATTCAAAAACAACATGCTGCTACTTTACTTCGTCATTTTCGTTGGAATAAAGAAAGACTTATAGAACGTTATATGGAGGAAGAGAAAGCTGTGCTGAAATCAGCAGGAGTCATTACTGATATCAACAAGGCACCAAAATTCATGAGATCACGTAGTTTTACTTGTGATGTTTGTTGTAATGATGATGATCTAAACACTATAGCTCTATCATGCGATCACAGATTCTGTAAAGATTGTTATGAACATTATTTGACACAAAAAATCAAAGAAGAAGGTGAAAGTCGTAGAATATCATGTATGGCAAATAAATGTAATGTAATTGTAGATGAAACGACTGTTGCAAAGTTGGTTAGTAAAGATGTATATGAAAGGTAAATTGTAATTATTAATTATCATTATTATCATTATCATTATTATTAAATTTGTAGTAAATAAAAAAAATTTAAATTTTTAATGATAGATATCGAACTTTACTAAATCGAACATATGTCGATGATAGTGAAAGTTTACGTTGGTGCCCAGCACCAAGCTGTGAATATGCGGTTGAATGCCACGTTCCACAAACATCACTTACTAGCATTGTTCCTACAGTAGAATGTGCATGTTGTAATCGTTTTTGTTTTGGTTGTGGCTTACCAGACCATCAACCATCTATTTGCATGCTTGTTAAAAAATGGATTAAAAAATGCGAGGATGATTCAGAGACAGCAAATTGGATTTCTGCTCATACAAAAGAATGTGGAAAATGCCAGTCAACAATTGAAAAGAATGGTGGTTGTAATCATATGACTTGTCGTAAATGCAAATATGAATTCTGTTGGGTTTGTATGGGTCCTTGGTCAGAGCATGGAACTAGTTGGTATAATTGTAATCGTTATGATGAAAAAAATAGTGTTGATGCAAGGGATTCACAAGCTAAATCTCGTTCATCTCTTGAGAGGTATCTTCATGTATGTATACATCTTAATATGAATATGAGTACGGATGTAAATATGAATTTATTTATAATTACTAATTCTCTGTTTTTTTTTTCGTTATATATATGTGTGTGATTGTAGTATTATAACCGTTTTGCTAATCATGAGCAATCTGCTAAACTTGATCGTGAACTATATAACAAGACTGAAAAGAAAATGGAAGAAATGCAACAAACTTCTGATTTATCTTGGATTGAAGTACAATTTTTGAAGAAAGCTGTTGATATTCTTGTCCAATGTCGTATGACTCTTAAATGGACATATGCTTTTGCGTTTTATCTAATACGTAATAATGAAACAGAAATTTTTGAGGATAATCAACGCGATCTTGAAGTAGCAGTTGAACAGCTTTCAGAATTATTAGAGAAACCTATTGAACCTGACAAGATTGGTGAATTAAAACAACAAGTACTAAATAAAACAGTATATGTTGGAAGTCGAAGGGAGGTGTTGTTGGCGGATACCGCTCAGGGATTATTAGATAGTCGATGGGAATTTCAGGTAGACATTCAAAATTGAATACTATTGTATTGTAAAAAATATAGTTAGCACCAACATATGTGTGATGCTAGTTGTTGTAAAAAAAAATTGTCAAATTTTAAATCAAAGAACTTTATATATATATACACACACACATTAAAAGGCTGTTTTTATTTTTATTTTTTGTGGGCAAACATTTAAATAACAATTGATATTTATTACTTATGAAAGATTTTAATCATCTTTAAAATTTAGAATTTGTAATTAATTAATAATGTGCATATTCCTTTCATAGATATAATGTTTCACTTTCCTCAATTCTGTTAAATTTTATGCATTTGTTCATATTTATAAAGAATAATACAGCTCAATCAATATATATAATAAATAGGCTTAAATTCTTTTTTTTATATTTCTCACTAAACACACATATATAACTTCCTTTATTTTTTTTAATACAAATCTTTATTTTTTTTATCATTTTAATTATATATGAACTTTTTTTATTTATATTAAATGATAGATTTGAATCATAAACAAATGAAAATAATTTTTTCAATTATCATTCCTGATTTTTTCAGAAAAATTTTTTTTCTTTAATCGATAAATTTCCACATTAATTTTATTGTCATCATTATTGCCATCATTATCGTAATTATAATTGCTATTATTTTTTATCTCCATTTGAATTAAAAATTTCTTTAGATTTTTTTCGGGAATTTTATTAACCTCGAAAAAACAATTATTCTCATCAATTTTTTTACATAATTCTAAAAATCTTTCTATCACAATTGGATCTCTTTTTTCTAAACCACAAACGACCAAAGTTTTTGTATTTGAAAAATGTTTCAAACAACTAATAAAGTGTGATAATAAGTCCAATTTATATATACAATCCGTTGATACTATGTAATCATAATATGGCAATAATGATGATGATTCGTAAAGTTTTGTCCAATCTAATACTTTTGCTTCTGCTTTAAATGGATTACTATCATCGTCATTATTAGAGTTTAATATTGTTAAATTTCTAGTAACGTTTAAAGATAAAACATTATTTACTACTTCTGATAAATCGGTCAAAGTTGTTGAAAATCCTAATGAACACATTACCAAACCTAATAAACCACATCCACTGCCTAATTCTATGCAAGTTTTTTTTGTGGAGACAATAGAAGAATTATTATTTGAATATAGACGAAGAGAAGGACTTAGCGTTTGATACAAATACTTTGAAGTGATGATGCTTGAGTCCCAAATAGTTGTACCATGATTTAAAGAATCAGTGTGTTGTATTAAAGAAAGAGAAATGTTTAAATGAGGCAATTCAAACTCGAATAAATTGGATTTTTGCATATTTGCGATCTAGATTTTTGGTGCATGAACACGACGCCACATAACAATTTCGAAACGCCACAATTGTGTGATATCAACAGATTCGCCCAAGTGCCACTTTCTACCTCATGAATCAATTATAATCAGCTAAATACAAATATCATTAACAACGGATACCAAGATAGAGATTCACTTACAACCTTTTCTAAAAAATCAATTGCCATTAGAACCATTATAATCATTATTATCTAATTGGGTTGTATTACGAATAAAGATTTTTTAAACGTTTCGCATTTCAATTAAAAATTGTAAAGTTTTTTATTTTCTGACTAAAAATCAAAAAAATGCATCAATATATTCTTTGATGCTTATTCCATCTTATAAAATAAGGGATATAAATTTGAGGCACAAAAGCATAGTGCTATTTTCTTGTAAAAGATCATAAAGTAAAATTTTTTAATAGTAAAGTCAGCACTAGATTTTTTTTTGTCAATCATTTGATATGCTACTATGTATGACACACTCATTTATTCGCGGATCATCAATCAATTGGGGCACAGAAAATAGAAACAACCTAACTGCAAAATCTCGATTTTGAGTTAATAACATTCTTATATGCAATTCTTTACAAGGGTTAATTTTAGCTTAGGAACTATACTGTGAGATAGTAAATCTTGGACCTATCAATTACCCGGTTAATATTGACCAATTAGAACGAATTTACTACGGAAGTCATTGGTCGAAATTATGCATAACAAACGATCTAATAAAAAAAATTTTTTGAAAAAATTAATTGTTAAATTTTTTAATTTTAAAAAATGGCAACATACGAAAAAATTGGAAACGAATTAGAAATAGCAAGAGGAGAGTATGAAGAAGAGGCGAAAAAAAAACTGGAAGAGTTGAAGGTAAAGTTGAATGAGTTGGAAGAGGAGTTCGACAATAAGAATGGGGAGATGATGCAGAACAGAAGGAGAGGTGGGAAGGATGAATAAAGAGATTGATCAAAGAAAAGGAGAAATTAGAAAAGGACAAGGACGATTGGAAGAGGCAGGTGGAGGAATGGGGAAAGGCATTAAGAGAATTCGGTGGAGGGGAAGGTAATGAACAAATTGCATAAAAAAATTATTTTCCACCTATCCACCTGTTCATCATGAATTAAATTTTCATTTTTAAATTTTTTCTTGTTCATACTTCCACATCAACCTTTCCATCATATCTTTCTTTCCTTCCATTCCACCTATCCATTTGTTTCCTTCATGGGATTAATTTGGCTAATGATGCTTTAAAGAATATTCTTTTAAGAGAACACACATTTGGATGAAGATACACCACTTTTTAAATTCTGGAAGGATGTTCAGAATGTTGAAATTGACAAAAAAATAATTTCTCTAACAGAAGGTGTTTACTTGTTGGGTAAAATAGAACAAGGATCAAATATTTTTATTCACCAATGTTATATTGATCTCTCCAAGATAATTTTTGACAGTGATAAATTGGAAAAATTTTGCATTACAGGAACTTTAGGAATTGGAAAAACATTTTTTGTTTATTTACCTGCTTATCCAATTGATAAAAAAAGAGATGAGTGTAGTATATGATCAAGTCAATCAGTGTCCAATTTTCTTTCATCAAGGAAACATATTTGAAGGAACATTAGATCTGTTTCATAATGAATTAAATAAATCAGATGTTTGGTATCTTGTTGATGGACACCATCCAAGGAACTGTGAAGCTAAAACTATTCTTGCAACTTCACCACAAAAAGAGAACTATTGAAACTTTCAGAAGTGGGCTGGAACAAGAAAATGTTTTATGCCAGTGTAGACTTGGGATGAAATATCTGCATGCATTTCTAAAAATGTTTATGATGATTCAATGGAGAACTTAAATGTTACTTCCAAAATTTTATATCCCAAAGTTGATTATGAAAAAGCTAAAAAATTGTTTGGAATGTGGGGAGGTATACCACAAGTTGTTTTGCAAGATGCAAGCGCAAAAACTGTAAATGTGATAAATCAAGAAATGGAAGATGCAATCAAAATTTGTGATCTTGATATGATAGTAAAAATAGTTGGAGATGTGGTTGATCCTAAGCTTGAAGTTAACAATAAGATTGTGCATATATACACTAATGTTCCTGATCAAGAACAAGATAATGTGGATAATAATACTATGGATGTGTGTAAAAAATTTGATGATTCATTATTTCCACCATATGCCCAGCAATTGGTACTTTTTGCATCAACATATGTAAGTGAAAAGGTTATAAATCGTTATGAGGAGGAAAAAAGGGACCAGTTGTACAGTTTTTTATCAGCAAGTAAAGACCAGATGGGATATGAAACTTTGCAAGGAAATATATTTGAGGCAGTTGCACATAGAATTTTGCAAACTGGTGGAAACTATGTAACACGTTGTCTAGAAAATGAAAATGATGAAATAAGAATAGAGAAATTCCCTAGACTTGAAAATAAAATCTTTCAATCAATAAGTGATATTAATACACATAATGAATATTATCAACCACAACAAAAAAATTTCTCCTCAGTGGACTCATTGGTTTTACCAAATATGTTGTTTCAGATGACTATTAATCAGCATCATGGTATCAAGGTCAAGGGATTAAATGACCTTAAAAATATACTTGATGTCACAAGGGAGATCAAATTTTATTTTGTTATGCCACCAGGATATTTTGATGGAATGAAAAAGCCATCATTTCATACCAGAAAAGGGGAAGATTCAAAAAATTACCATTTTAGACTAAGAATAAAGTAAAGCAATATGTTCTCAAGGTTGATTTGGCATCTAATTATAAATCTTAAAATCAGTACAGTGCAGATCATCTATAATCATTAATTGCTTATAGTAACAATTGGTCAACTTCAAAATACTAAAACAAAAAAA